GTAAAAAATATTTTTTACAAAACAAAATCATTAATTAAAACTGAATCCCAATATTGTTTTTGATTCTAATCCAAAAATCAAAAGCATTAATCTAAAAATAATCATTTATTTAATAATGAAGTTTTGTTTTTCTCTGTTTTTGCAAACTTTCAAGAGAGAGAGAGAGGGGTTTGAAATTGAATAATTTGGTACCAAGTGAAAATGTGAAATAAAGATAAGGGTATTTATGACTTTTGACTAGACTAACGGCAAAAAGAAACTTTTTGGAGAAGGACATGTTAGTTTAACGGTTCAAGAGATATATACTTCAAAAAGCATTCAAATAAAAATAAGGATTTTGAAGCATTTAAATAAAAATAAAGATGGACTAGTTATATTTTGATATATAAAGAGATATAACAGTAAATTTTCATTAAAAAAAAAAAAAAGACAGTAATGAAGTCCAAAAATGAAATCATTTACTTTCCTTATTTATGCATTAACTATAGATAATCCTAATATAGAAGATGCTGAAATTGCCTGTGCAAAAGAAGTGGTTTTCCATCACATAGAATGTGTATTGTAATATAGCAATTTCATTCTCATGTTGTTTTGTGATTTATTTTACTGATTTGGGGATTTTTTTTCTATTAATTTGTTTTGGTACTACTTCTATTCCATAATACTTATCACATTTGAGAAAATAATTTGTTCTAAAATACTTGTCACATTTATGGTTTTAAGAAGTAATAAATATTTTTTTCCATGTTTCATTATTTCCTCTATTATTATGGCCATTTAACTATTAGATTTAATCCTAATAATTAAAGATGCTGAAATTGCCGTGGCAACAGAAGTGGGTTTTCCATCACTAGAATGTGTATTGAATTATTAGCAATTTTCTTTCTCATTGTTGTTTTGTGATTTATTTTTACTGATTTGGGGATTTTTATCTATTAATTTGTTTTGGTACTACTTTCTTCTATTCCATAATACTTATTCAATTTGAGAAAATTAATTTGTTTCTAAAATACTTTGTCAATTTTTGGTTTTAGAAGTTAATAAAATATTTTTTTCATGTTTACCTTTATATATGACTAATAAATTATTAATTAAAATAATTTGTTCTAAAATACTTGTCACATTTATGGTTTTAAGAAGTAATAAATATTTTTTTCCATGTTTACCCTTTATATATGACTAATAATTATTAATTTTATTTAATGTTTTTCTTAGAGAATTAGTATTAAATTAAGGGTAATAAAGCCAATTTATTTAATAATTTATTGTAATTAAGATAAATTTAATGATTTTCTTAAAAAACGTGAAATTTCAAATATGACAAGTATTATGGAACAGAAGTAGTATTTAGTTACTAATTTTTCTTTAATGAATTTGTTTTATTGATTTTGTTTGTGGGTATTGAATACTTTAGGGTTGAATTTCACTCGTCGTAGGGGTGGCCACGGTTCCAGAACTGAAACCCATCGTAGGGGTGGCCACGGTTCCAAAACCGTAGGTTTCGGTTCTGGAACCGACTATTCTGGTTTCAAAAAATTTAAAATCGGAATCGAACCAGAATTTGAAGGTTCTAGTTACGGTTTGAAATCGAACAGTTACGATTTCAATTCTGGTTTCTCAACGATTTCAAATCAACAATTCCGGCTCTCCGATTGATTTTTCAGCATTATAAAATCAAAAGTTAAGTAACATATTTTTGTTGAAAATTTAAAATTTAAATATTTATTAAATAATTTTAGAAAAAAACATAAAGAAAAAAAAAGGTAAAAAAAGGTTTAACTTAATTTATTTATTAAAAAAAAGGGCTTGAACTTTTTTTTTTTAGAAAAAGAGCTTGAACTTAATTTATTTATTTTAAATGAAATGAGGTATTTTAAATAAATCCAAAAAATTAATTTTCCACAAATACTCTTAAAATTAGCCGTTATATAGTTGTTAGGAGGGTTAATTTTGAAATTTCGCAAAAATATTTGAAAAAATAAAAAAATTATTAAAACAGGGTGAAACCATCGGTTTGAACCGTCGGAACCGCCGGTTCTGATCAATTTTTGAAATCGCCGATTCACGGTTCCTCAAAAATTAAAACCAAAACCGAATCACAGACTTTCAGTTTCGATTTCAATTCGAACCGGTTTCGATTTCGGTTTTTACCGGTTTTGAACCCAACGGCCCGGTTCTAAAAACTGAAAAATGGCCACCCTACCGTCGTGCTCAATTATATCTTTAATTTTTATCACACTAAAATACATCTATCAATGTAGCCATTCACGTTGGGCGAAAGCTGTCATGACGCTTTAAAAATATAAACATTGCTTTTGTCAACACTGCAAGTCAGACATCCATTAAAACACTGTCTATCTCATGCGAAGACAATTTCTCTCTCCTGCCCGCTTATGGCTTTCAAGGAAACTTCTTTATTTCGTCCTCTATCATCCAGATGAAGTGCCCGCTTATGCTACAACGAGCTGCTATCGCCCAGCCACTGCCGTGGTGGTCTCTACGTACGGCAGCTCTTCTTCACCGTCTCTCAACGATTATTTGTTCTTTGAAACTTCTCTTCCATAACTAAACCGAGGGTTTAATCTTTAAACTTGGTCCTATTTTCAACATTGCAATTTATTTAAGTTTACACAACTGATCATTTTATTTGTCTTAGGTTTTGAATCATTCGGACGAGGATTCTGAGATTTTTTGCCATGGTTTGAGAGGAAAGCTGGTGTCAAGGTTTCATCAAAGCTTTATATTGGAAAATCCTCTTATGGCATGTAGTTTAAAAAAATTTTAAACTCTGTTTTTTGTTTTTTACGTTTTTCTTTTTCTAATTTTTGGTTTTCTTTTGAGGTCAATTGAATAGAAATTGTTTCTTGGAAAGAAACAGGAAACAAATTTTACTCTATAAAATGATATAATTCTTCTTCCTTCCTCTCATCATCAAGAGGGAAATAGAACTTTAGAATGAATGGCCTTTATAGTGCTTTAGCAGACAGGGGACTTAGCTAGAGCTCCGTGATTTGGGGGCACAAATTCAAATGTAAGCATGGCTATAAATGAAAATTAATTCAAAAGGGACAGTGTCTTTAAAGCCTGTATATACGTTGTTTATGAGACTAATGCAAAAACAGCATTAAAACAGGTTGATATTACGGAATAAATTCAAATGGAAAAAATAAGGAAATTAACAGAAGAATGAGAAATTAGTATTTAGTATAACTAAGAAATTAAACGAAAGGAGCGGTAATCAAAACAAGAAAAGGAGAGAGCTTTACCTTCTTTGAAAGAGAATCAAAGATGGGTTCGGTGGTGTTAAAAAGTGTGGGCTGAGTTTTATGGGAAGAAGAAGAGAAATCCTGCTGCTGCTGCTGTTATTGTTGACCGACCTTCCAGTTAGCGTCTTTCTCAAGCGAGTCGAGTTCTTCTGCGCTTAAACCCCAGTCTTCGTCATCAAACTCCATTCTCTTATTTCTTTGGTTCGTTTCAAATTTTCAAGTTAAAATCGACCGTTTTAAGGTTTCAATGGGTAGTGCATCTGAAATTTATTTCTTTTTGGAGCTCTGATCCAAACAAACCCAGCAAACCAAACACTTTCTGTACTTCAATTGCCCGCTCTTTTTCTCTTTTTATTTAGTTTTTATTTTTATTTTTTTTACGGGAATAGATTTTATTGGAAAATTTTTATTATGTCAATTATAAATATAATATTATTACAAGAAAATTAATTAATATACCCTATTAAAAGCATTTAATCAACGTAATTATCTGATAGAATTCATGTGATTAAAGTAATGTTTATAGTAATTTGATATTGTTCACACTTGAAAATGCCACTTTTGGTATACAATTTCTACTAACAACTAGGCGTATACCTGCGCGCATGCGCAAAGTTTTCTAAATTTCGAAATTATTTTCATTAAGAATCATTCATATTTATTAACTCAGTTTTAATTCCTATTAAAGCTTTATTTTAAGAAGATAACATTCAAATTTTGAAATTTGATTATTTTAAAGAATCATTAACGCATATTAACTTAGTATCTAAAATACTAAAATTATGCATATAATTTAATTCTTGCCAAATAATTTCTCTCTGTTAATTGTATCCTAATTTCTCTCGGTTTGAAACTATATAATTTAGACACTCATTTTAATTACAAACAAAACAGAATTGAAAAAGGGCTGAAAATTCAAAAAAACAAAACTTCCTAACAATTTAAACTTTGAAGACTACTAAAAGAAAGAAACAACATTAATAGCAAATTAGACTATATAACTTTTGAAGAACATATACTCCAATGTCATATCAGCTGCTGCAAATTTCTAATTTTTGTTGCTATCCTGGAGAACGGGATAAAACTAATTCATTTGTACTTAAAACTAATTGTCATCGCCCTCCGTATGATCACTTTCGTTGTTGCTTCTTTTTTCAATGCCATTTTGATTACTTTGATATATCTATATCTTATTCAAACATTCACCAAAGATTCAAAGCAAATAAATTCGTACTAATGGTAATTAAATGGTGAATAATGTTTACAACAAAAGACACAAGAAATATACTAAATCAGAACTTATAAGTGATACAGTTAAAATAGTACTAATAAAAAACAGGAAAAAAATGAAAAAAAAAAAAAAAAGGATAATTTCATGCAAAAGCACACTAAAAAGGCAACTACTTGATTTGCCTTGCGACGTAAGCCCATTTACAAATTTTCAGGCTTGATTGCATATACTCAACTCTGTTTTTGTACATGAAAATCATGGAATATGCATATGTACAGTAAATGTTTTAGACCAAAATTTTCCCAACAATTAGCATACTTATTAATTGATCTGCAAGCATCAAAACTATTTTCAAGGAAATAACCATTAATGTGGCCCTCAACTCAAAACCATTTCAGATTTTAGACGGGGAATACCCATTTACATACATACGAAAAAAATAAAAATAACATGACAAACTCATAACCAAAATGCATGCACAAATTCAAATAGAAAATACCAACTTCACAAATATAAAATGGACACATATAATAATAATAATAACAGTACCTGAAAATTAATGCTATAAGGTACTTTAAATTCTACTGCCAAGAACCACAACACTCCCTAATCACATGCTAATACACAACAAATTAAAATACAAAAACAACAAAAATCATATCATGCCTCAATTTCTTTAGTTTTCAAAAATTAACGAGAAAAAAAAAAATTCAAGAAGATAGCATCATTTATCGCCAAGAATTATAACACTGTTATTAGTGCCAAAGTAATCTCCATGTCAATGATGGAGTTCTCTTTGTTGCGAAGATCTCCATGCCAAAGTAATCTCCAGTGAGAGGCAAAATGATTCATAAAATCTAAGAAATAAATCATAAAAAATGTCAAAACAAACTGTTGCATATTAAAAAGAATTATAGAAAAATGCATGCTAAAGAACTCACCATTATTTAGATCAGAAAAACATATGTTAAAGAGCTCACCATTATTTAGATGGCAATAATTAAAACTGTGAATGAAGCAAAGTCATACTCATATTGCTACGTTAAGGCAATAAACATGAAGCTAAATGCCATATTAAAAGTTAAGAGAGGATTAAAATCAAGATCTAGAACAACTTCATAATACTTTATGCTAATCTCAAATGAAGTTCGGTACTTGCTATAACGTGGATTATAATTAAGACTCATACATCTAAAATAGAGAAAGTACAACATTCAGTAGCTTGGATTATTAAGAATTCCACAACGTTTGAATTGCAGTAATTCAAAAATAAATCAAAACACCCACAATTATTATCATCAAACCAAATAAAAATACGCTTAATAATAGATTAAAAGGGAAAATTTTAAAAACTCACAAAAAGGAAGAAAAAAAAAAAAGAAAGATAAGGAAACTTTCGGCACAACGATAGAATTAGAGTAAGAATACTAGTGGCACAACGATCTAATTGGCAGTACCTATATCAGAATGGATAGTATATTTCCATTCATCCTGGCCGCATGTTGATGGGGATAATGACGCAGCGGCAAGAAGGGGTCAGATTGATTGGCTATCGTGTATAGGAGAAGAGAAAATGGGGTTTAATCTTTGGTTTAATTTAAGAGGTGGAATGAAAGAGAAAATGAAAACTTGAGGCACTTGCAAATGTTAGACATTTTTTCACGGAATTTTTTCTTGGAAATCAGAAATTTCTCCCAATCAAGATAAAAGAAGATATTCAAAAACTGTAATTTCTCTCTCCTTATGTGAAGTGCCACATCAGCATATTAAAACAATCTATGATTCTTTTTTATATAATGATGACAATTTCTTATGTTTACAATGTCCCATGTTTACAATCTATTAAATGTCAAATCGATTATACTGATGGATTTGTTTTAGGTAATAAAAATTAATGGTTTGATTTTTTTGCGTAACAAATTGCAATGTAATAGAGTGTATAATTGAGAGACTACAGATGAAATTAAATCTATATTTAGTGGTGAGGAGATGAAACAAGGAGGAAGTGGCGAAGGCCTATTAGATTTGTCGCAAGGGTGTATTTGTCTTTTAATTTTAATCTTTCACTTTTTAGCTGTATTTTATTTGCAAGACCGACAAAAAAAGGGACAATTTTTGGAGATATCTATTTAATATAGCGAGTAACGGATAACGGATATCCAAAGATTTGTACTCGTATTTTATCCGTATCCATAACGGATAGTAATTAATTTTACTGTTTGTATCTGTTTCAAATTTATTTATAATTACTCATATCTTTTTTAAACGGATTGAAGCCGAACGGGTACCATAAAATACCCTTACCACTTGCATCCCTAGTGGTGATCGATTGAATATTAATTAATATTATTATTATTTTAATTTGTTTATATATTTCAGCATCGAGGCTGAATTTGGATATAAAATCTCTTTAAATACTTAAGGAGAACCTTTTATCTATTTTCATTGGCAGCTAACATTATCTATTTTCGTTGGCCGCTAAAACGAATCCAAATCAATCGGATCAATGAACTTTGAGTATAGAATAATATACAGGCAGGCTAAAAGTTAGTTACCCTATAACTTCTCTGTTTTTTTTTTTTTTTTTCCTTACAAAATTTTACATAACAAATAAGTATGTAGGATTAATTTTGGATATATATATAAAATCCTGAAGCAAAAAAAATTCAAAAAGCTGAGTTGGCGCTCTTCTATTTCAGCATTTCCTTTTTCTTTAAATTTTCTTTTTTATTGATCATTTTTAGTTATTTATTTTTCCGTTTATCACGGTTAATAAACTTTTACTCTTTTTAGATCCATAGGCTATGCTCTGTTTAATTTTTTTTTATTAATAATAACTATAATTTTTTAATTCAAATCTTTTATTTTTTATCGTCAATTTTTATCGTCAATCAAATGGAAGTTCATCTTTTTAACAATAAATAAGAATTGTAGCCTCCATTGCGATAGTCATTTATTTCTTACTCTTCCTTTACTTTTTTTTTTTTTTCATTTTTTATATTGATTTTACATGATATTTCTTCACTCTCTAATTTTTGGATTCTACAGATTTTGGAAGTGGTCATGCACTCATTGCGGGATTGTGGTTATGCCAAATACCAAAGGTATTTGATTTGAATTTTTCAAGATTTTTTTAATGAATTTTGCTACCGAAAGTATCTCCAAAAGGTTAGTTAAGTTTGAAGTGTAATTATTTCAGATAAATCATTTACTAAATAGTGATCATTAATTCATTATCAATAAATCAATATTTGCAATCCACACTAATTACATTCCATGAATTGTTGTCTTTTAAATTATGGAGGGAGCTTGAGTTCATAATATGGTGTTTGATTTTTACGGCGAAAATAATTGGTGTAGGCACCTGTTTAATTCATCTAAATGGGTCAAGTGTGCTGATTTTTTATCGCAATGTTTGGCGGTAGCGGAAGATAAGGCAGCCATGAAGGATAGCGGAAGAGTGTCCTGATTTTATGCAAGTGCTTTGAAATTGAAAAAAGGCAGGCGAAGTGCAGAATTTAAAGCTGAGAGATCTAGGCATTGCAGGATTTGTCTAAGTACATTGACTTTGCAAACCCAAGGCAAAAGTTAACCTGAAAATGGAGGTCACACCTGCAAAAAACGTTTCATATTCCATCAACAGTCGAGGGAAGGACTTTTGCGATACCAATTTTTTTTTTCCTTTTTGAAAATTATTATTTTCATGAAATTATCATAATCCCTGTGTTTAAATATTTTGCTTCTTTACATAATCACAATTAATGTAATATTTTTTTTTTTTTGAAATGTACATTTAATATAATATTACTGTTTAATCCCTCAATTTACTATTAAATATTATTTATAATGTTAACCGTCTATCAATTCATGTAACTTGACGCTAATTACCCTGTTCAATATTTTTACACTTTCATAATATTTATTGATTTCTAAAGTAATTAAGACAAGTGAATATTACTAATTTAAGTAACACATCAGTATTTTCACATTGATCTAATTTAATCGAGAGTCTTACTTGAGTAGTATACTATTGATGTGTAATTAATAAATACAATTTTGCCATGAAAAGCTATCTATTTTTTACACGATATAATTAATTTTTCTAAAATAAAAATAATAATATATATCACACAATTTATAAATATTTATTGTAATTGTTTTTATTAGCATTCGAAAAGATTAAATATGCAAATTGAAATGTTTGTGTTTAATTGTATGAAATATTTAGTTTCATTATTTCTTGATATATTGAAAGTATTTAAAGAGGTATTTTAAGCATATTATTTTTATCCAAAGGAAAGACCAGCTAGCACGAGCCCATGCAAACCCCGCAGAATCTATAGCAAGACAAGACCCAACCGAAAGAGATGGAAGGTGAAGGATTTGCAACCCCTAAGACCAAAAATGACTTCATTGGGCGTATGCCACAAAGTTCGCCCCCGTGAAAATTTTTGCCAAATGCACATCTCATTGCCTATCCAGGAGCCAAAAAAATGACTTCATTGGGGGTATGACCACAAGTTCAGCCCCGCCCGTGAAAATTTATTGGCCAAATGCACATCTCATTGCCTCTAATCCAGGAGAACAAACATGATCCATCGAACCACGTCTGAACAGATGGGCAGAAAAACCTCCATTAAAAAAAATAAGTTTAAAAGAGTAATTGTTTTAAGGATTTATATACTTCAAAAAAAAAACTAATTATAGAGATAATAAAAATAAATTTTAAAAAAAGAAAATATGTCCCTCTTAATATCAAGTACTATACATCGAAAAATATAATAGGTTAAGAATTATTATATCGATTAAGCTTATGAATTTTATTTCTTTATTTTTAATTTTTAATTTAAGAGAATGAAATAAGTGAGCCTGTTTGAAGCTATTAGTGTTAAGGAGTTTTAATTCAAAATGAAAATTAAATATTTGGTTAAAATTAAACTTATGAACTTCATTTTATCTATCCCCAAAATTTAATAACCATATTTAATAATTTTTATAGTCATAATATTTAAAAATGTATCCAAAATGAAATAAAATAACAAATAGAAACTTCGATGGTAATAATAATTAAATCCTTGAAATATATAATTTTTAATAATAAATATAAATTTTTAATTAAAATTATAAAATAATTCTCGACGCTGACTTCGTCCACATTTTAATTATTATTACTTTTGACCTAGTCAAACTACTTCAGAAAATGATGAATAAGATGACAATAATAATATATAATAAAAAAAAAAAAGGAATAACGAAAAAATTTTTAAAATAAAGTAAATGAAAAATTTTGTTGGGAAGTTATAATTCATTTATCTATCCAAAATTTAATACCATATTTAATATTTATAGTCATATATTTAAAAATGTATCCAAATGAAATAAAATAAACAAATAGAAACTGTGTAATATAATTAAATCCTTGGAAATATATAATTTTTAATATAATATAAATTTTAATTATAAATTATAAAAATAATTCGCGCTGCCTTCGTCCATTTTAATTATTATTCTTTGACCTATCAAAACTACTCAAGAATGATGATAAGATGACAATAATAAATATATTAAAAAAAAGGAAAACGAAAATTTTTAAAATAAAGTATGAAAAATTTTTTGGAGATAATAATAATAATAAATTGATTAATTTAATAAAGCCTCCAGGTGCACCACCAACTCGTCATCTTCAAAACGCACGGAGACAAAAACCTCATAACCGTCGAATACGCAGTCAGAGTCGTAGTCACAGTCACAGAGAAGGCAAGAGGAGACGACGAGAAAGGCGTTATCTCAGTGATGGCCACACACCTGATTCCCTCAATCTCTTCTCGCCACGTGTCCTACGAAACTTCCATTTGCAATCAGATAGCCCATCCCTGCCTACATAATCTCTCTCTTTCTCTCTCCTATATCGTTTTCGTATATATCCGTTGCCTCTCTGTTTCTGACTCACTCCTCCTCGAACCCAACAATCTTATAATTATCCTTTCATAACCCAAGTCACCACCACCCGTAAAGCTTATATTTTATGGTACTTTTGTAGTATTAGTTTAGGGGGACGCAGAAATGGATCACGCAGCCGATGCTTACCGGACCGATTTGATGACCATAACTAGGTTTGTTCTGAACGAGCAATCAAAGCATCCGGATTCGCGTGGGGATTTCACTATTTTGCTTAGTCATATTGTTCTTGGATGCAAATTCGTTTGCACTGCTGTTAACAAGGTCTATCTCTCTTTCTCTATCTATTCTTCAAATGGTTATTTATTTCTTTTTTGGTTTCATTTATGTTCCTTTTCGTAGTATTTTAGTTTGTTCAGTTTTTTCCTCTAATGAATTTATGAGGGTGAGTTTTTCTTCTTGATTCTATGCGTTTTTCGTTTCAATTTCACAACAAAAAAAAAGGGAAGAAATTCCATAATAAACATTGCTTGACTTGCTTCTTGTTATTAATGTACTTTTATACTTCGTAGTCAGTCAATTGTGGTGGCCAAGCATAAAATGGAAAGGGGAAATATAAAAAAAGTGGGAAATCAGAAATAGAATATTTTTAGTGTTTAAGTGCAAGAATATATTCACAGCTTTTTAGCTTTATATCTTTATATTGGTCTCAAAAAATTATTATCTCCAATATTTTATTACTTTGTGCAGGCGGGTCTTGCCAAGCTTATTGGACTTGCTGGGGAGACAAATGTTCAGGCAAGTTGTCCATTGGTCCCAAAACCCATGTTATTTATCCTGCTATATGTTTTTCTTTTCTCTACTGAAGGTATTTATGTAAAAACAAAAAAAAAAAGAAAAAAAAAAAAGAAAAGAAATAGATAAACTTCTGTGGTTTTATTACTAGGAGCGTTGTTGTAAAGTTAATTTATTTTGTTTCTTTTTGCCTGTTTTGACTATTAAAGGGTGAAGAGCAAAAGAAGTTGGATGTGCTTTCAAATGAAGTTTTCGTCAAGGCCTTAGTAAGCAGTGGGCGAACAGTGAGTAACAGGATCGATGATAATCTATTGATTTATGGTGGTTTAAGGATAATGAGTTTTGACTTTCTCTAACAGTTAAAATATTGTGGCAGTGCATCCTTGTATCGGAGGAAGATGAGGAAGCAACATTTGTGGAGCCTGCCAAGCGTGGAAAGTATTTACTTTCAGACTCATTTTTATTAGTTATTGTAGCCTATTCTGTTTTATTATGACTATATTTTTATTTGTATGCGGTGTGGACTAATTGTTTATATGAGCAGGTACTGTGTTGTTTTCGATCCGTTGGATGGATCCTCTAACATTGACTGTGGTGTTTCCATTGGAACGGTAGGGCCTTTATCATGATAGGAATTTGTACTTGAATTGGAATCCTTTACTTACTGACACTATAAAAAGTGATTTTTTCCAGAATAATCCGATATCGAAGTTATATATTGAATGTCTTATGTTTCATCTAGATCTTTGGGATTTACATGGTGAAACATGGCCATGATCCAACTCTAGATGATGTCTTGCAACCTGGGAAAAATATGTTAGCAGCTGGTTATTGCATGTATGGAAGCTCTTGCACGGTATGAAATACTAGAGTTTGTTAGTTTTTGTAAATTACAAAGTTATTTCTTCGTTTGTTGTGTATGGGATTTGTAAGGGCAATTAGATTCTGTAAAATTTCTTTCACTTTCATATGGATTCAATTCAAGATGTCAAATTTTAAGGGAACTTATTTTCTTCACAAAATAATGTATGTAGGATAGCAAATGTGAAGCTATAAAGCTTCTGTTTGTAAAATTTGTGAAAATGTGGATTGATATTTTTTAATTCTTTGGCATTTTCTTGTTGATCTGAGAGAATATTTTTTATTTTGAACTTATTTTATTGGAGCTTTAGGAATCAGTATTTCCAAGGTTTCTTTTTGTTTGTGCTTCATAGTTTTCAGACATGTATTGACCAGTGCTTCAATTTTTCACTTATTAAGGAATATCTGATTTTGCAGCTTGTATTGAGCACTGGAGGTGGTGTGAATGGGTTCACCCTTGATCCATCCCTGGGGGAGTTCATACTGACACATCCTGATATTAGAGTATGCTATCTGATTGCTGCATCAATTTGATGAAAACTGAAATCATAAATATTTTTAACTTGCATTATGTCTAGAATAAAATGTGAAAATCAATTCTTGCAACAAGTCAAACGGCACAATATCCTCTTGGAGCAAGTTAAATGGACTAATATGCGAATATTTCTTTAATTACCACTTTTTAAGCCTATCCGCATAGTTTTTAATAGGGCTAGAGGCCTAAGAAAAATCCTGGTTTAAATGACAGAAGTCATTTTCAAATCACATATACATAATAAGTGACATTAGCCATCTCTGACTCTCTTCACTTAATATCTTCTGGTTTATTTGTTGCGTTTTCATTCTTTACATTTAGCTTTCATTTCTAAGCCACCAATCCTTCCCCCTTTCTTAATAGATTCCAAAGAAAGGAAAGATTTATTCAGTAAATGAAGGAAATGCAAAGAACTGGGATGGCCCAACAGCTAAGTATGCAGATGCATTTCAAAATTCTCTTAGTTTTCTACTGATTCCTTACTGTAGTTTAATGACATTATATGGCCTTAGGTATGTGGAGAAATGCAAGTTCCCTAAGGATGGTTCCTCCTCAAAGTCTCTAAGATACATTGGAAGGTATTATGAATCCTCTCCCTGACAACTGTGGCATTTCTATTTTTAAAATTTTTATTTGGCATTTAATTATTGCAATTGTGTCTTAGGTGGTCCTTTCTTTCATCTTTGGTTGACATTCCTAATAATTGAATGGAAATTGACAGTCTATTATCCTTTGATAGGGGTTATATAGGATGTTAACCAGTCTCTTCCTGCTGGCATTTAATGTTTTCTTCTTATGATTCTAAATTTAATCGTTTTAGTTGCCTGTTTCTTACTCTGCTATTCAGAATCTTAATCTGTAATATGTCCTTTGCTTTCTTTTGTTCCATTTCTTTTCTTGGGTGAATCTGATGCAACATCTATGATTCTTTGAGTTACTAACTTGTACGATTTTCTTTAATCACTTGTCCATCAAATAAATCATATATTGCACATCTGAATGCAAAATTTGTAGCAGAATCCTTTTAAACAAAATGACTAGTAGTTTAACTAGGCTTGCCTGTGACAATATTAGTCCCTTGAATAACTCCAACTGTGTGAGAGAGTATAGGTAAGCTACCTTGAGCTGCAATTTCCAATGTCAATTCCACCACAATGCAGCCTTGCAATCGCCAGTCAGAGTAGCAAATAGAGATGCTGAAGGATGTCAAAGCCATTCCACTAAGTTGATTAATGCTAATTCAAACACCCATTTTATACAAAAATTGAGAAAGCCTTAATTTTTGGATATTTTGATAATTTGGCCTATTAAAGTAATAGTCTAAATCCTGTAGTGAGTAGTATTATGCTATCTGGACCTTGAAGCATCTCATGGACAAATTGTTATTATCTAATTTGTGAATTCTGTAACCAATAGTACTGTTTCTGTGTTATTTAATTCAAATTGGCAAATGAGGACAATGTTCTGTATGTGCTTTAATTTCTATATGATCTGCAATTTGTGTGAAAAATATGCTTAACCATTCAATTTGGATAGCTGAGTATCCAAATTTTACAGAATTTGATGCTAACCATTTATGTTTTTGATCTGGCTTTGTTACATTCAATTAAATCTCTTCATTTCTGATAACAATCTTTCAATGAAACAGCATGGTCGCTGATGTCCATCGCACATTACTTTATGGAGGGATATTTTTGTACCCTGCTGATAAGAAGAGCCCAAATGGAAAACTGCGGTATGTTTATTCATGGTTCTTTGTCTTGATGGCATCCTTGAAATACTCAATTAACCTATTGCTTTCCTGTCTAAGTTATTTCATTTTGCTACTCACTTTGGTTAATTTGTGCGTCCTAGTGTTCTGTATGAAGTTTTTCCAATGTCCTTTTTGATGGAACAAGCGGGAGGTCAGGCTTTCACTGGCAAGCAACGGGTATTATTTTCTTGTTCTTGTTACTGATTCAAATCTCCATTCATTTCTCTCATGAACATCAATACGTAAAATCTCTTCTGCTACATGAAGGTTTAGGCCTGTTTTTTCCCCCTCCTATATATCCACTTAGATCAAAAGACCATAATAACTTAGTTTCGTAAGCATTGACGGGCTACAACTAATTGGAACCACTCTTAACTATGGAAATTACATCATATTGAAGTAGTTCTACATAAAACTCGGGGAAAAATATTCATCAATTAACTTAAAGTGCCTTCTTGGGTTTGAATAATATTTACAGTGAACGCTATTTGTCTTGCAGGCACTTGACTTGATTCCGCAGAAGATACATGAGCGTTCTCCAATATTCCTTGGAAGCTATGATGATGTTGAGGAAATCAAAGCACTCTATGCTGAAGAAGGGAAGACCGCATAAAGAACAGTCTCATATAGTTCTTACATATCATTGTTGATTGTAGTATGGGCTACTCAACTCTCTATTTCTGATCATGTATTCATAGGTTAAAATCCTCTTTCTTAAATAAGATGAGATGTCTATTGGTTGTAAGCAAGTTGTAGTTTATATGTTTGAATAACGTTCACATCTTTATGGTATTATGCATGAATCAATCTCTTCATTCTGTATAAAGAAAGGTATTTAAAACAGCAGAGAGAGGTTGCAATTTGGCGTCCCCAAAGATCAAATTTCTGCTTTCTTAGTACTACATTAAATAAGGGCTTGGGTTTAAGGATCTGATTGATAAAATAGGTGGTGTTCGGCAACAGGTTAAAATGTTAAACGTTATTTTTTATAATATTCGGTAACATAACTTTTAAATTAGATTTTAGAGGTTAATGTATCTTTTTATGGAAAAATGTTTAACTTTTAGTGTGTTATAAAAAACTATTCAAATAGTTAATTTTATCTTAACATTTAAAAGCAATTCAATTGTTATGTTACCAAAATTATGAAAATCTACTTAAAGTCGTCGAAAATGACCTAAACCCTAAATACCATAAAAAAATAATTTGTAACTAATTTCTAGTCTAGAATGATAGACCGGAACTGGATGGGTAGCAAGGGTTTGAAGAAATTGAAGAAAATTATGAGTTGAGTGGGTCAGGTTTTAGAAAAATTTAGCATTCTTCCATACTTGGCAATTCCAAAAAAGTTGAAGGTTCAACATAAGAAATGGTCACAAGCCAAAAGGGTGTCATTAGGAATGTTCAAAAATAATTTTCCAAGCTAATGACTTGATAATTAATATCATAATCAATACCTTCATGATTTTTAAAAATGGGTAATCATTATACAACTCATACCACTAATCTTAACCAAAAAAGTAATGCCAAGATCAGTAATTTAATAAAGATGGTCAAGCACTCAAAAATTTTTATACAAGGATTAAGAAAGTAGTTAATTTTCCTAGATTATAACAAAATCAATGATAAATTGACTAAATTATTCTTTATCTCAAAACTAATAGTTACTTGTTAAAGTATTTATTTTATTTAGTGTAAATAAGAATAATATTTAAAAAATATCATTTATTACTCTTTAAAATACTCAAAACGACTTATATTTTGAGATAAAATAATCACCCAAAAACAACTTATATTTTGAGACAGAGAGAGAAAATTACTATATATTTTCAATGTTTTGAATTTTTGAATGCTAGGGCAATGATTAAATGGTCTCTTTGCTACACGAAAATCATTAATAACTAAAAAGATAATAATATCTCGTCATTGAACTATTACTTTCTCTTTCCCAAAATATAAGTCATTTTTGGGTAATTATTTTGTTTCGTAATGGAAGTCGTCTTAAGTATTTTTAGGAGTAATAAATGATGTTTTTTCAATATTACCATTGTTTAGATTAGTTGCAATAAATATTTTCACAAATAATTATTGGTTTTGAAATAAATGATAATTTCGTCAAATTATATTTGAATTTGTTATAATCTAGGAGAATTAATTACTTCTTTAATCCTTGTACAACAACCTTAAATGATTTATTTCTAGCACAGAGGGAGTATAATGATATAATATTACTACCTCTGTTCCATAATACTTATCACATTTGAAAAAATAATTTGTTTTAAAATATTTGTCACATTTGTGGTTTCGAGGAATAATAATTTTTTTCCATATTTATCCTGTGTATATGAACAATAATTATTACTTCAATTTAATAGTTTTATTAGAGGATTAGAATTAAACTAAGGCAATATAGTCAATGTATTCAATAATTTATTGTAAATTAGACAAATTTAATAGTTTTTTTTAAGGGATGTGAAATTCCAAATGTGACAAATATTATGGAACAGAGGTAATATATATTTTAAAATTTTATGTACAACCCCCGTTTCATGATACTTGTCACATTTGAGAAAATAATTTGTTCAAAATACTTATCACATTTGTGATTTCAACGAGTAATAAATAATTTTTTTCCATGTTTACTTTGTATATGCCTAATAATTATGACATTAATTTAATAATTTTTTTAGAGAATTAGTATTAAATTAAGAGTAATGTAGAAAATTTATTCAATAATTTATTATAAGAGTAATATATAAAAATTATTCAATAATTTATTGTAATTCAGACAAATTTAATGGTTTTGTTAAAATACGTGAACTTCCAAATATGACAAGTATTATGAAACAGATATACGTTTGTTCCAAATGCAATCTTTGAAACTGGTCTCCCGCTGCATAAGTTATTATGATAGAAATAAAACAAAAAAAAAAATTGTATATTTACTTGAAGGTCTTCATTCACTTGAATTAAGATCATATCCTGAAACAAAATTTTCTTGAAACTATAAATACCAATTTGAAGATAAAGAAAAAGAAGGTAATGTACAACCATAAAAAGCAAAAACTTTTTTAAAAAGTAAAGATAACTTAAATTCTTCTAAAACATGTTTCCTCTACTAAATATTGGTTAGATATGAAAGGAATAATCTCAGCTCAAATTCATAGAATTATTCATAAAATAATACCGAGTTCAAATAATACTGTGTTCAATTAAACTGGTTAGACTTTAGATTAAGTTAAAGTGTTTGATTAGGTTTCAAAAACATATCAATTATCCATATTCATATAAATATAAATTGAATAAGGGAAAATAATTATTTCGTCCATGAGGTTTGCCATAATTATTTAAGTAGTCATTGACATTTATATAAATATTTATAACATCCCTGAGATTCATTTCATCATATTATTTGATCATTCCGTTCAAAAAACACACATGTTTCTGTTAATTTTTAATAGAATGATCAAACTACCGTAAATCTTCTAATTAACATATCCTCATTTTCAACTCATTTGTTTTCCTTCTCATTCGCTCACAAAAATGGTACAAACAAATTCCATAGAGCTCAAAGCAGAATGAACAACATCTACTTGAACATCAAATGTTCATATATTTAATCTTTGTATTTGCATCCAATGCATTACTTGCTCAATAACCTCAGCAATTAATCCCAGAAACAGCAACCATATGCAAAATCTGCCAAAAAGAAGACCAATATAGCAAAACAAAAATTTATATAGCACATTTAGCTTTCTCTTATTCACTTGAAACTCGACACTACCATTAACAAATGCTCTTGTAAATTTTAAATCATAAATTATAAACTAAATTTAAAGTAATCACCTAATTTGATTTGAACTCAAAATTGAATAAACAAATTAGAAATTTAGAAATTTACCCAAAATTTAGATTAAAATTTCTAAATTTTGGTAAATTTAAAGGATTTAGGGTAGTTTAAAAGGAGGATATGTTAATTAGAGGATTTATGTTCAACATCATTTGGTTTTTCCTATCTCAATTCGCATCACAAAAATGGTAGCAACAAATTTCCATAAGAGCTCAAAAGCAGAATGAAACAACATCCTACTTAGAACATCAAATGTTCATATATTTAATCTTTGTAATTTGCAATCCAAATGCATTACTTGCTCAATAACATCAGCAATTAATCCACAAGAAACAACAACCATATGCAAAAATCTGCCAAAAGAAGAACCAATAATAGACAAAACAAAAATTATTATAAGCTACATTTTAGCTTTCTCTTATTCACTTGAAACTCGACCACAAACCATTAACAATGCTTCTTGTAAATTTAAATCATAAATTATAAAACAAATTTTAAGTAATCACCCTAATTTTGATTTGAAACTAAAATTGAATTACAACAAAATTAGAAAATATTAAAATTTACCCAAAATTTAGATTAAAATTTCAAATTTTGCGTAAATTTAAAAGAGATATTAGGGTAAGTTTAAAAAAGTGAGGATAGTGATTAATATAGAGGAATTTAAGTAGTTTGGATTCATTCTATATAAAATTTAACAAGAAAATATGTGTGGTTTTTTAATGGAAGGATTCAAAATAATATTACATAAGTAGGGAATCTCAAGATGTTATAAATATTTATAATAAAAATGATCAGGGATTACTTAAATAAATTATTGACAAAACCTCAGGGACGAAATAATGAAAACTTATAAGGATAATTTCAATCTTTTTTTCTGTCAAAAATTAAACGGAAAAAATGTGTTTTTTTGGATGGAATTGAACCAATTAATAAGATGAAGTAAATCTCAAGGGATGTTTAATAAAATATTTGTTAAATGTCGAAGAACTACCTTAATAATTATGCAAACCTCAGGGACGAAATAATTATTTTCGGGATGTTATAAATATTTGTATAAATGTCGAGAACTACTTAAATAATTATGGCAAACCTCAGGGACGAAATAATTATTTTCCCATTGAATAATTATTTGAATTGACCAATCAAAATATAGAAAAATAAGAAAAAAAAGGCTGGTGGAGAAAGATAATGCTTTAAACTTTCTTTTTCTATCAGCTTTCATATATATATTTTGGTAATGTTTTTTTTGTAAAATTACAAAAATAATTACAATTATATCATATTATACTCATTTTATTTCTTTATTTACTTTTTCTAAATTCCAATAGATCTGGTCTCTCCTCGTCCCTCTATTTCATATCCACGTGTCGATCATAATTTAACTCGCACTAAAAATCAATCGTACACCATAGCATAGACAAACCCCCTCCCTGCCTTCTGCTTCTCTCTGTTTATATCTTCATACATGAAAAAGCAAAGCACACATTAACACCAAATTATCAACCATAACTGCTCAGATCTAACCCCAAAACTTCGATTAATTACGAAAATGTCAAGCGACAGCGACGAAGATGAGCTTCTGCAGATGGCATTGAAGGAGCAAGCGCAACGCGATGTCAACTACCATAGACCAACATCTTCGTCGGCGTCCAATCAGCGGAAGCCTGTGGCCAATTTTGTACAGCCACCAAAGACAGGGGCAGGTGCTCCACCTAGACCAGGGGCGAGCGCGGCACAGCCGCTGAAGGCAAACAGGAAAGTTGTGGAGGATGACGATGATTCGGAGGTGGAAATGCTGAGTATATCGAGCGGAGATGAGGAGGTGATTAAGGATCGAGGAGCAGCGAGAGGGAGAGCTGGAGGAAGAGAGAAAGGAGGGGACGATGATAGACCGTGGGATGGAGAAGAGCCTGATTGCTGGAAAAGAGTTGATGAGGCTGAGGTATGGTTAATCTAGTCAGTTTTATGATTTAAATTATCAGGAGTTTCTTTTCTTTTCATAGATTTTGGAGAAATGGATAGGCAGGTATATGTATATACATGAAGCATAGAAATGCGTGCTTGCTTTATTTTTCTCTAAAATGTAGTTGACTAGATTACTGGAATTCAGTTTCTTCTTCTTCTGTTGGGTGGGCTTAGCTATGTATAATTGCTTATATAGTTGCTTTTCTGTTCTCTCTCTATCCTGATGTGGTTGGAAGGAGTAGACCCTAGGTGTTAAACTGGGATTGAAACTATTTTATTATTTAATTTATGCTCGGCTATCTTCTATTTATTGTTGCTGATCACATGTATAAGTCTTGTAATCTATACTTGAGAATTGAGTGTAAAGGGACTACAATTGTAATTAAGATTGATGGGAAGATTGAATTAACAATTTATTAATATGTTTTCCTCCCTCAATTGATTGAGTTTGAGGTGTGATTAGTGGCTTTTGGCGTAATGTTAAATGGCGTTGAATGATTTTCCATGATAAAAAAGACGGGAAATTATGCTTATGCTTATTTTAGGCAGATGAAGTTCAGTTTTTGTTATCTTGTCCTTGCTGTTGCTTTGTTTATTAATGGTTCATTAACATTTGAAGGAAATTGATGAGGAACGCCATCTGCTGACTTTTTATGAAAAATAAATAAAAATAATAGGATTAGATAAAAAGACAGATACTAGAAGAACTTAACTATTTTAACATAAAATTGTAATTTTAAATTGGATTGTTGTTTTCTCCTCCAGAGAATTGCCTTCATGTTTAGACAGTAGTGTATTTTTCAAGTATAATGCATGTAATTTACTCCTTCTGCCTCAAAATGATAGGACACTTTCTATTTTCATACAGATTAAGAAATATGGTTAAAGGACAATTTTATTCATATAACTTTCCTATTATGTCCATCTTAAATACTACATGCGAAATTATTATATTGGAATAATAAGTAAGATTTAACGAGGGTTATTGAAAATAAGAGAAATTTAATAAGGGTATAGCAGACAATTTAACGGCTAACTATAATGCAAAAAAGGAGAGTGAACTATATTTTGCGACAAACCAAAAATGAACGATGGATTATCTTTTTGCGACGGAGATAATATTTTAAAAGAAGTTTAGAGTTAGAATTTTTTTGCAAAATGACATGACATTATTAGTATGAGGCTGAGAGAGTGATCATTGGTTCCTCCCTTCTCCCTTTTAATCTTAACCATCTTGGTTGATTTTGCACATTGTTGATGGCGGCATTTATTAAATACTAGTTTAGAGATTAGCAATATACTTATATAATTATAAACTATAGCATACATGTTAAATTGATTGCAGTTGAGGCTTGAAGCTGTTAGTACAAATATGTTTTCTTTAGCTCATGGGACTTAGAATTCAACTGCTTAATGGGCATTGATGTAAATGGACAATTACCACGCCAGCAACAACACTTTTTATCAGTTATATGCATTTATTTGATTAAAATCTTTATGCAAAAAATTATTGCTTAAATCAGTTTTATTCATGAGATTGAAATAGCTATTGAGAACAATATGGACTATAGGTGGCAATGGGGTTAGGTTTTTGTATTGTTTCAAGTAGGTGTTAGTCATTCAATGCATCGACAGAGAGAGGGGGTGCCAAGGGTGGCCCCCTGCCTCTGAAGCCAATTTATTTATTTATTTTTAAATTGGCACTTAAATTTTTATCCTCTAAAATAGTGTGTTTCTTTAATTTTACCCCCAAACTTTCCCCCTAGTCCTTAATCCTGGCTCCGCACTGATTCAATGAGTCCCAACAGAAATTTATATCTGGCTATTTGGGCTGTTCATTACTGCCACATCAATTTACAAGTCAAATAAAATAGCTCAAACTTTCTTTTACAATGAAAAATGTCCATCATATGCTTTCCACGCAAGCATAAAATGTGTTGCAATGGAGCAATTAAAGTCGGTTAAAGCCAAAGCAATCAATCTTAGCATGATATATATATATATATATATATATATATGGAGCAAATTTAAAGTTCGGTTAAAGCCAAAGCAAATCAATCTTAGCATAGATATATATGATATAAATGATAATATATAATATACAACTGTAGTATATATATATATATATATATATACATGTAGTTTTCTTGAGTGTGGTTGAGCTATAAGTAGCTCAGAAGAAAATTGAGAGCTCCAATTTTGTTGAGAGTGGGTTTTGCTCTCGAGTGCAATTAATTTGGTTTAGTTAATTGCGATTGTCCTTTAGTGATAGTTGTAACACTGGGTCCTTCAGAGTAGTCGGTTAAATACTGGGTCCATTGAGAGTGGGTGTTACGCTCGGATATTTTACGCTAGGATCGAGAGAGGTGCTTGCTTCAATGTGGGTGGCTTAAACATTAGGTTTGTTGAGAGCATTTTTACTCTCACGTGATAGTAATTCTTTGGTGTCTATGTGACGGATATATAAATATTGTGGGATATTGAGTGGGGATTACTCTAGGAAAATTACAATATTTATATTTACTGTTTTATTTCCACGTAGTGAAAAAATTTAGTGCTATCCATGGACATAAGCAACTTTTGCTGAATCACATAAAACTTCTCTATCTCATTTATTTTTCTTAGCAATATTTGTTTTGGTTGTTTGATGAATAATTCTTTGGTGTTTATGCCACGAATATACAAATGTTGTAGGACATTGAGTGAGGATTATTCAAGGGAAATTACAAAATCTTGTATGTATTGTTTTATTCTTACGTAGTGAAAGAATTTAGTGCTATCTGTGGACGTAAGCAACTTTGGTTGAACCACGTAAAAGTCTCTGTCTTGTATATCTTTCTCAGCCGTATTTATTTTAGATCTTATTGAATTATTGATTGGTTGTTTGATTGTTGTGGATCCGCCATAAAAAAAAAAAAATCCTAAGAAGTGGTATAAGAGCCTTGTTGTTGCTATAAGGTTCAAAGTTTGGTGGAGATATAAAATTCAATAAGATGGCAAGTAGTTGATCACACTTCACAATAGAGAAGTTAGATGGGAAAATTAGTTTCACGCTTTGGCAAAGAAGAGTGCAAGATCTCATCATTCAACAAGGTCTAGCAAAGGTGTTGAAGGGAAAGGAGAAAGGAAAGCTTGAGAAAATGACTCATGTAGTATGGGAAGAGCTTACGAAAAGTTGCGGAAGCACAATACGGCTTTGCGTTCTTGATAACATTGTGAATAATGTTGTTGATGAAGATTATGTCATGGACATCTTAAAGAAGTTGGAAAAACTTTATAGTGCAAAAAGTTTGTCCAATAAGTTGCATGTAAAGCAGAATTGTATAGAATAAGGATGGCAGAGAGTGACAATCTGGTGGAGCATTTGGACGGGTTCAAAGGAATTTTTAAGTCAACTGCTAAAATTGATGTGAAGATTGAGGAAGAAGATAGGGCTCCACTGCTTCTACCTCCCCGACTCATATGAGAACTTTGTAGAGTTGTAGCTTGGTGAAAAGGACACTTGTCGATGGACTAAGCAAAGGAAGCTCTAGTGTCTAGCAACTCAGAGAAAAGAAAAGGCTATAGTTTGAGGATATGGTGAGGTGTTTATTGTTAATGGTATGAGTTGGTGAGCATGATCATCTAACAATGGTGGATCGCACAACATAGTAGGTATATATCTAGAGGCAGAAGTGGTATCCAATGTTACCTTCGAAAGAGTTTGGGCATATTAAAAGAGAGTATCAAAAGGAGAAGAAAGAGGTGGAGGATCACAACGCTGAGTGCGTTATGGTATTATGTGGGGATGAATCTACTCAGGATGAGTTTCTTTGACTCTTTCGGAGCGTGACTCAAAAAAATTTCATTTGCAGTGGAGGCAAATGAAATAGTCAAACATTTTTGGTGTTTTTTTCTCAAAAAAAAATCAAGTCAAGGTGGAGAATATCATTATTAATTGTGTTTTGCCATTTCTTGGGTCAATCCTCAAAATGCCAAGGCATTAATTGCTTGCTTAATTATTACTAGGTTGACTAGCTTACCCTGGCCACCTCTGAGAGTGAGACATTGTATTTTGTCTATGTAGAGATTGGATAGAAACGCTCAACCGGCAACTTGAATTAGTTTAAGTTTAAGACGGAATTTGTCATGACATTGTACTCCAAAATGATCACCAGTTAGACAAGTAGCTATTTCCATCTCTACTCCTAGTTGATTTATCAAGATTAAGAATTGAACTGGTTGCGGTTAAAAGAATTGTTGTGTCTCTGCACTTCTTGTGCAATTCATGGTTTCTGATTGATATTTGTTCATGTTTACTTTTCCGTCTCTGTTTCTTTTGTTTTTGTTTGATTCACGATGGAAAATAATTGGTAAATATAATAGTTATTGGTATAAACGTCTGAAAGTCATGTTATTCAAGATTTGTTGTCGATGTTTAATTCCATTTGATTAGACTTTAGAGTGCTCCATGTGTGAGCATGCTATCTTTTATTGGGAATTTCAAAATGATGTAATTAAATCATGCTCCTCCAACAGCTTGCTCGTAGGGTTCGTGAAATGCGAGAGACAAGAACAGCACCTGTGGCTCAAAAGTATGATCGAAAGCCTTCAGCAGTCGTTAGAAAGGGGCTTAACAATCTACAGTCCTTCCCTCGTGGTATGGAATGTGTAGATCCACTGGGTTTGGGGTAAGTTTCTAATTTTATAATTATTATCTTTGATTCCACACTTAGTTCTCCCCTGAATCTCTTAGATAAGAAAACTTTCTTACTATGTGGTAGCTTGTTTTGCAATTTTATTACGGCTTATACTTTTTGCTTGAATACTTGGCTCTTCTAGTCGACCACTTTAAGAAATTTTTTGCTTTCTTGACAAGGTTTATGTCATTTGTTATTTGAAAAGAAAACCTATTTTATGCTATCTGTCAGCAACTGTACTAATGTAATTGTGGCAGAACCATGGAATATTTTTCCTGGTTTGGTCTGAACTATGTGGTTAATAGTTCATCCCTGAACGTCACTTTTGCTAACCTGAATTTATGTTTGATTGACAGGATCATAGATAACAGAACATTAAGGTTGATTACAGCATCATTAGACAGCTCTCCTAGATCTGACAAAGCGTATCTTGATAATAACCTTCGTGGTAAATCTCTCTCTCTAATTTTGTTTTATTCAAAATATTCAGTGCGGTTTGGAACTCCATATCATGCATTGAGTAAACAACAAATTTTATTGCTATGCATTTTCATTCTGTTTTGGTTCACATGAACAACATTTTGACTGCAACCTGAACTTGCAAATATGTTGGTTATATCTACATATACATATACCCTTGTGACAGGAAGGCCAAGCTCTTAACCTGGCTTAATTTAACTTAACATGTTACATTTCATTGCTTTTCACTTAGTTATTCCAACTTAAGGGCATTTCATTCTTTTCTAAAATGCAATTTTCTGGCAATTGAAAGTGCACATTGGGACAAAAAAGTTGCTGGTTGTGGGTATAAATTAATGTTAATGTGCATGGATGTTGAGTGAAAAAACTTGGGGAATTTCAATCAAACCCAATAACTTTGATAAGAGGGACAAAATCTATTTTATTTTTCAAGCTAGCTAGTTAATGCCTAATATGTTACAAAAACATTTGATTAATAGAAAATCCATGTTTGGCAAAAACAAGGAATCATAGATTTTAGGAATTACATTGAAAAACAGATCAGGACTCAGATGAAATATTAGGGTATAAAAAGGAAAAAAAAATAAAGAAAAGAATCAACTATAACTGGGCGCTTTATAATATCTGATGAGAAGCTGACATACAATGTAAAAAAATTTTGATATTAAAAACATCTTCGAAGTGTTGGATATTAGAGCAATTACCAAGATGAATAGAACTTTGAGGAAGCTCCATTGATATTATTTGTGTGAATCCCTGGAAATCCATATATTAATAATTTATTCTTGCCTTCCTTGAGTCAGGTATAAAATATGGGGCTTTCCTTTTTGTGCCAGTCTTGGGTACCTTTGTTGCTTATGCAATCTCCATGATACTTTCATTTCAAAATTTTTTATTTTTGACGGGCAGGGTTGGATGCCCCTTGAAATCTCCTATTGTTTCACAATGTTAATGGATATAGAGAGAATTTTTTTAGTTCGGGAAATTAGCAAATAATTCTCTTATCTTAAGCTCCATCTCCAAGTGTCATTCTCTTAATTTGAGTTCTCAACCCGTGAGCACTCTTTGAATGATATGATTTGGAAAGTTCTATGGTAGAATTTGTGGGACCGGTGCAGGTGGGACAAGCCTTTGTGGTTTAGCTGGTGCTATAAACTGTATGAACAAATATTTTGATAGGTTAACAACAGTGCTGTCTCCTTGTTTCTTATTTCATTTTCTTGCTTAGATTGTTATTGAACATTATGACTCAATGTTGTGCTATGATATTTGTGTTAAAGAGGAAAATCACCATTTGTGATCCATAGATGTATTTTGTCATACCTTTAGGCATAGTATTCGTATCTTTAATTATAGGCTCGTTTTTCTCATGAAATTTTTAAATGAACTTCTATTTTTTATATTTTTCTTACTGTTTCTGAATGGTGATATTGAATCTAAACTTCTTTGAATTCTTCGTGGAGTTATGAAATTTATGGTGGCTGCTTGAACTTGGAGGGTACTTATGTTTGGACATCTTTGACTGACTTCATTTTTATACTTACATTTGCAGAGAAGTTGTTATATTTCTCTGAAAGGTTTGATGCAAAGCTGTTTCTGTCCCGAGTGCATCAAGATACCACTGCAGCAGACCTGGTGTCTGGAGCTCTTTCTTTAAAAACTGATCTCAAAGGGCGTACGCAACAGAGGAAACAATTGGTGAAAGACAACTTTGATTGCTTTGTCTCTTGCAAAACTACAATTGATGGTATGCAAACATCACATTCCTCATGGATTACTAGTTTTACTCTAGACTAATTATTGCAAGTGAGATGAAATTTTGGTTGACACCAAATTTTCTGGAGCATAGCTTTTGGGGTGCAGCTTTTATTAGATTTCTAGCTGGTAATGATATGCTACATGTTTCTGATATGGAAATGACTAATTTATTTACAGATATTCAATCAAAATTAAAACGCATTGAAGAAGACCCTGAAGGTTCTGGGACTTCTCATCTTTTCAATTGCATGCAAGGAGTAAGCTCACTTGCTAATCGTGCTTTTGAGCCTCTATTTGAGAGACAGGTTTGTAAGATTTAACATTTGAATTTGCATTGAAATATATACCTTTTGTTACGACATGGTTCAGGCTGGAGTTATTTCTATAAACAGGCTCAAGCTGAGAAGATCAGAGCTGTCCAAGGAATGCTTCAGAGGTTCAGAACACTATTTAACTTGCCAAGCACGATTCGTGGGAGCATTAGTAAGGGTGAATATGACTTGGCAGTAAGGGAATACAAAAAGGCGAAGTCAATTGCTCTGCCCTCTCATGTATGCAAGAGACAATACTGTTCTACTGTCATATTGTTACACTATGGTAGATAATTCAAGTGCAAGTAGTATATTATTGAAACTTTCCCTCTATATGCTTGTTACTCTCTCGATTTAGGCTACAAAACAAAATTGAAATTTTAATTTGCAAGCATTCACAATTTATGATTTCTCAATACAGAGAATATTTTCTATCATTATATGGAGCTTGTCTAATTAAATATTCATTATTCATGTATTTATAAATGCACTACTCTCATGGCTTAAATACTTCTGATATTTTATGGATTTTCACACATAAGCCAGGAAGGATTTGTGACTTTTTTCTTTTGGGTGATCTTTATGTTATTACCAAGCACGTGTGTAGCCTCCATCATTCTGTAACTTGATTTTGCAAAAACTGTTTAAGACAATCTGATACTAATATACTTTTGGTCTTGTGATTAGAGTTTTAGTGTCTTAGTAGGGGAGAGCTATAGAACGTGACCCAAATCTCCGCCTGAAATTGGAATAAAATGAGTTATGGAGTGTTTTGTATTAATTAAATGTTTAAACATGAAACATGCTGCTATCTACTCATCTCTTATCCCATAGTTGCATTTATCTGCTGGTTATCGAGGAACAAGCCCTTTGTTTTAGCCTCATTTCTTACTGAATGTTATACATCATTAAGTTACCTCATTTGGTATTATGGTCTGTAGATTCATAAGTGCTTTTCTCAGAAATGGCTCATTGTCCATCATATATTTCTCTAGCAGAAAGTGTTCAGTACTAGTTTCATTGATCTGTTGAATCATTTGGAGGACACGACTCATTTTCCTTTTCATTTATTTTGTTATTTTATGTGATTGTTGATTTGTGTCAATTTAGGTAAATATACTAAAACGTGTTCTTGAAGAGGTTGAAAAAGTGGTGCATGAGTTCAAAGGCACACTGTACAAATCAATGGAAGATCCTCAAATAGATCTAACAAATGTAAGTTTACTGCATGCCTTTTAATTATTTTCTATTTCAAGCATGATTACATTTAGCCTCTAGTTTGCTAATCTAAAAACTGCAATTGATGTAGTTCACCAGATATCCACTCAGCTATAAACTGTTAAGGAGATAATTGTTGCGTTAGCTGCCGCTCCAAGGAAATTAATTGTTTAGTTGTTCTTTTCTTCTTTATTGGCTATTGATAAATTTTGTGGTTCATCTAGCTTGAGAACACTGTGAGGCTGTTGTTGGAGTTGGAACCTGAATCAGATCCTGTATGGCATTATTTAAATGTACAGGTCAGTACATCTGTTACCATTACTTATGGAAACTGTCTCTGTAAGCAAATTAATGTACTTGTGTTGTTTTTAGAATAATAACAATTATTAGCTTATGTGATTTCAGCAATGAGACTTTAAAGTTTAATCAAGTAATGGATCCTTGTGCGAAGTTCTTTGCTTCTTTAAATATTACATTACTGGTTTATCTCTGATTCCACTTACCATTGATGCCAGTAGCAGCATGTGTACAAGACAAGAAATCCACTCATCTGAGCATTTACCATTTTTAAACACTTCCAATCATAATTGCAAAGTCAATTTGTTGAAGGTTTTTCCTCTGTGGCAGAATCATAGAATTCGAGGTTTACTTGAGAAATGCACCCTAGATCATGAAGCAAGAATGGAACATTTGCATAATGAGATGCGTGAACGAGCTCTCTCTGATGCAAGGTGGAGGCAAATTCAGCAAAATGTAAATCAATCTGTAAGTGCAAAAATTAGAGGTTATTATTATTTTTATACATAATTTATGTATTGGTGCTGGACAATGAGTATCTTACATTCTCTTTTATTACGTCCAGTCAGATGTTGATTATTCCTCTGTGACAGTAGACTCACAACCAATATACTTGGTTGGTGAAGAAGTTGACACTCTTAGAGGAAAATATATTCGAAGGTTAACTGCTGTACTGATCCATCACATACCAGCCTTCTGGAAAGTTGCACTTTCTGTTTTCAGTGGGAAATTTGCAAAGGTAATATGCATGTTGCCTCTCTTCCAGATATTTATATGTAAGTGCAGACTTTTTTGCACTCTCCAACCTCAGTAACCTTTTAAAAATAGGCAAACGTGTAGCAGAATGTTGTAATGAGTGACCCATTCTTTGCACAGGTTACAAATATATAGACTGATGGATTGTCAAATAAAATTATATATAGCAGTTCTTTTTCAATTTTAGATGAGTTTCTTACCTGTCAGGAACAGAAAATTTTTCACTGCTGATTGATTGCTCAGGGCTTCCTTCTTCATTTTCTCCTAATTTTTGGCGGTAATGGGGATCATGCAGTATCACCATCCCTTGTATAGGATTGGGAAATTCTAGGATGGGATCAGTTTGGAGTTGATGTGCAGATGTTTTCCTTCCCTTCTTACCTATGTTTACAAGAGAAAACTTAAGAGGTTGTTATAGATCGAACCCTTCAATCTCTAATTATCGGAACTCAAACTTTGGAGAAAAATGGTGCTTGATTCTTTCATTAACCAGTAACCTTTTAAACAACTGAAGGTAAAACTAATTAAATACTCGTCACAACAGAGCAACAAACTTAAGAATTATCCACTAATAAAAAACTGATGTCCAGATCTTAATCTACACATGGGAAAAACAAAAAAAACAAAAATGCTAAATACATCTACACCAACTAAGGCAGCACCAGAACATCCTTCAGTGGCTATGGAAGTCCTATAAACCTTTTATTGCATCCTTTCATTTGGGAATGTTTGATTGTGGTTTTAACATTTTCTCAAGTCTTTTTAATTTGATCAAGCATTTTGTCGATGTTGAGCTTATGATGGAAGAAGTAATCAAGGGGAAAAAAACTTGTTATGAGCCAGTAGAATATTCTCTCTTAAATTTAAACATCTCTGTTCTAGCTTATAGTTGGTTTGAAATGACTCAATATTCAGTATGGTGAACTATATTTCTGTTGATGTTCTTGATGTTATGGATTTCTCTTTTACCTCACTTGTAAATATTCTTTTCTTGTCTTTGTATGTTGGGTTGATTAGATTGTCATAAACCAGATTTTGGAGTTGAAATTTAGCATGGTGCTGACTGTGCCAAATGTAATGAAGAGCTTGCTGGTTTATCCAGATATTTTCTTGGTACACTGTGAGCTTCGAACAGCTGAAATTAGTGATGTTAACAGGCATCCTGAATTTTGTGATGCTCACCTTTAACAATCTTGTTTTCCTTAATCGTATGAAATTAATTGGAAATGGTGCTAGCACATTTGCATTGGGTTCTTCCTGCATTTTTGGAATTAGTGCTTGCTTTAACTGCTTTACTTTTGCATATATGCAGCACAGAGGGAAAAAAGGTAGTTTGGGGTACCTTTTTGTATTGATCAATGCTATGACATCCCTTCCTAGTTATTGAGCAAATTAATTGTATTGCTTTAGCTATCATTAAAATTCATTTTTCTGTGCGATATCACATATAAAATCAAGTCTTCTCTGTATAAGATAATTTCAGCATTATCTTTGATTGTGGAACTTAATTCTTTCAGTCTTCCCAAGTTTCTGCTGAATCAAATGCTAACACTTCAGCAAATAAAACCGAGGAAAAAGTTGGGGATGGCAGGTACTCGGCACATTCTCTTGATGAAGTTGCTGCAATGATTTGCAGTACTATATCTGCATATGAAATCAAGGTATTATGTAGTATGCATTTCTAAGTGTTGTACATGAAACTTTTTGTTTTTAAATTGGATAGAAATTTTTGTGGAGAATTTACGCTGACTGTTATGCTGTTGCAAAAGTGCTGTGTCATGGCCCCCACCTTGGTAGGTATTGTCCGCTTTGGGCCACGCAGGCCCGCACGGTTTTGTCCCTTGGGCCAGGCTTTTCAACCCACCCCAAAAGGCTTTCAACCCACCGAAAAGGCGCCTACCGAGGTTAAGCTACCACCCCTCTTTATGTACTGATCGTGAACTTGTGGCCGTAAGCGAAGCGATGTGGGATTTGCCTAAGGTGAGTGCACTGCCTCATCTGAAGGCCACCGGTCACCCCCCTTAGGGACTCAGCGCCCACGCTGAGGTTTGCCCACCGACCGGCAGAGGAACAAGGCTTTGGCTTCTGATACCAATGTGCATTGGACCCCCACTTGTAGGTTATTGTCCGCTTGGCCACGCAGGCCCGGCGTACGGTTTTGTCCCTTGGGCAGGCTTTTCAACCCACCCCAAAAGGCGCCTAACCAAGTTAAGCTACCCACCCCTTTATGTACTGATCTAACCTTGCTGCGTAGCCGATGTGGGATTTCCGATGTGGCTGCAGAGAGGGCAGTGCACTCACCTTAGGCAAATCCCACACGGCTACGCACAAGGTTCCACGATCAGAATAAGAGGGGTTGGTAGCTTTAACCTGGTAGGCGGCTTTATGGGGTGGGTTGAAAAGCCTGGCCCAAGGGACAAAACCATGTGCGGGCCCTGCGTGGCCATAAGCGGGACATACCTACCAAGAGTGGGCTTGACCATGACATTTTGGTATCAGAGCCAAGCCTTGTTTCCTGCTGGCCGGTTGGTGGGGCAAACCTCAGCGTTGGGTCGCTGAGGTCCCTAAGGTGGGAGTGAATCGGTGGTGCCACCAGAGAGGCAGTGCACTCACCTTAGCAAATCCCACATCCGGCTATGGCACAAGCGTTCACGATCAGTAAACATAAGAGGGTGGTTAGGGCTTAACCGTTAGGGCCTTTTGAGAGAGGAAAGAAGAATTTGAAAAGCACTGGCCCAAGGACAAAACGTGCGGGCATAGAGAAGAATAAGAAACCTTTACCAAGGTGGCTGACCATGACATGACTGATTGAGGAAACCTTTAATAAATATTAATAATAGATGATAGTTTTTTATGAAAATTGTTCATTTCACGAATATAAAAATGATAAGTCAGAATAGTGCCAAACGTTGGTAATAAACAGAATATAAGGCATGCTCCTTGGTAACTAGCTATGGCGCAAAATGCATTACACAGGACCACACCTTAATTTTTTTTTTTATATTTTTTTTTTTTCATTGATGTTGGTTGGGGTTAAGATTTTGAGTTATGGTATTTGTGTGGTTGGACTCCATACATGAGTGACATACTGTGGCAGACCGTAATAGATTCATTAACAACATGTAATAGGATAAGATTTCAGAGCATTCATTTTCTGTTTATTTTCTATTATTATGCAAATTACATTCTTCCCAAATTGTGATGGCCAAAAAGAATGTTCATCTGTATCTTTAATTTTTGAATGGATGGCTTTTTTTTTTTTTTTTTTTTTTTTTTCATTGATGTTGGTTGGGTTAAGATTGAGTATGGTATTGTGTGGTGGACTCCAATACATGAGTGCATATTTGGCAGACCGTAATAGATCATTAACAACATGTAATAGGATAAGATTTCAGAGCATCATTCTGTTATTTTATTATATGCAAATTACATTCTTCCAAATATGTGATGGCCAAAAAAGAATGTTCATCTGTTATCTTTAATTTTTAGCAATGATGGCTTGAAGCTTGTATTTTGGAGCATAAGTCAAGCACTAATTATGAAATTAATAGAGAAATTTTTATCTTAATCAAAAGCTTTAATCTTAACAACTTTCCAAATCCACTACCATTCAACCATACAAATAACCCAACTTTATTCGGTCTCAAATTCGTAAAATGTCCTTAATGAAAGTGCATAAATGAAGTTCTACAGAATCACTATCCTTGATTTTGTCCTACACTGTTGATAAACCAATCCTAAATTTTTGAGGTGCCAGTTATTTATTGGTGAAGATGATTAAAGATGCAAGTAACAGGTTCTGGTCCAAACTATATTCCCCAATTTGATTGCACACAAGGGCAAGAAGTTGGTATTATGATATATCCAGGGCTTATGTGAATTTGTATCTTTATTGCAGATATCATGTAGGCTTTCACGTTCGTCCTTGTTTATGAAAACGAATATGCATTTTTCAATTGTGCTTGTTTGAGGCAAAAAATATCGTAAAAGTTGTACATGTGTCCAGCCAAAACTTTTTCTGTTAATGGATGTTGTAGAACCTCTTTTTTCTTTATTTTGTGAGACTTTTTTTCCCTGTTAAATCCTCCAGTATCTCATTGACAATCAGTTGTCCCATCTGGGTGATGTCATTGTTTTTGATATTCCAATCTAAATTTGTGTCAGTATGCCTTAAAGTGCAGCTGTCATGGCTAGTGCTTTGAATCTTCCACTGTTTATTGCATGTACCAAACTAGTTCATTGCCAGTGCAGGTTCAAAATGCATTCCGTGATCTTGAAGAATCAAATATTCTTCGGTCTTACATGAGTGACGCCATAAAGGAAATATCCAAAGTCTGTCAAGCTTTTGAAGCAAAAGAATCAGCCCCACCTATTGCTGGTGCGTAACCTCTTACTGAAGCTACCTAATTTTGTTCTGTAAATTCAGAGTATTTACTACTTGTATGTTACAGTCATGGCACTCCGAACGCTTCAAGCAGAGATTACAAAGATTTATATATTCAGGCTTTGCTCATGGATGCGAGCTACAACAGAGGAGATATCAAAAGAAGAAACATGGGTTCCTGTATCTGTTCTTGAAAGGAATAAATCTCCATACACAATCTCTTTCTTGCCTCTAGTATTCCGCTCAGTTATAGCCTCAGCGATGGATCAGATCAGCTTGTAAGTCACTAGAGCTTACCAGTACAAACATTAGCAATGAATACTATAATCGATGATTACTGAAGTTCGAGCTTAGAGAACTTGCCTATGATTTTAGGTTTGCTAGCTTCCCTGATTACAAAGTGAGGATGGGAGGTCACTACCGTCTTTATTGACTCAAAGCATTGATGTTAATACTGATTCTCTCATGTTCAGAGAAGGAAAATTTGACACCCTTTATAGAACATGATTGCACATCAATTATAACTCATGCTTCTTCAGCATCGTGGATCATTGTATCATGGCCATGATATTTATTATCAATATTCCAAAAACAAAATCTTTGACATGGTTGCACATTGTTTCTGAATGCTACAGCCACACTATCTATTAATTTTTGTAATATTCAGTGTTTTATTTTATGAACCAATATGATGGTAGCAGATTTGTGGATTTCTGCAACTGATCTTTTGCCCTTCTGATTTCCCCTTCTTCATTGATCTGAATTCTCTCTCTTTTAACTCTTCTTTTCCCAAATGGATGACTTTTTGGTTGTGAGGACTTTATGTATTTGGCTGGAGAGTGAAGATAGGACTTTTAGGGATCAGGTTCAGGATAAATTTGTTTCTTTGGCCGTGTTATGGATTTTCTTTCATCTGCAAAAAAGGTTGCTGTCTGCCAATGTACTTTCTAAATTGTTTTCTTATGTGTTCTTCTACAGGATGATTCAGTCCTTAAAGAGTGAAGGAAGAAAGTCGGAAGAATTGTTTATGCAAATTCAAGAAATTCAAGAATCAGTTAGACTTGCCTTCTTCAATTGTTTCCTAGATTTTGCTGGTACAATAGATAAGTAATTTCCAATTTGGTGTTTGGACTTGAAAACATGGTTTATGATGCCTTGATTCTATGTTCACTAATCAGCTCATTTGGAACAAATTGGGAGTGAGCTAGCTGAAAACAGATCAAGTCTGCATCTACAAAATGGATTTATTCATGAATCAGAGGATAGACTATCTAATCTCCCTGGAAGTATTGTTGATTCACATCAACAATTGCTGATGGTGTTAAGTAATATTGGATACTGCAAAGACGAGCTTTCTCATGAGTTATACAACAAGTATAAAAATATTTGGCAGCAGTCTAGGTATGTAGTCAGCTCTTTGCCAACTCTTTGTCAGTGAGCAGTATAAAAAATACCATTGGATTCTTTGGCAGTGACTTCAGATGTAAATAGTTGATTTTATGAATGCTAGCGGATAACCTATTCATGGCCAAAGTTGAAGGAATCTAATTGGGTCATTATTATCGTATACTTGCCTAGTAAAAGTTGACCCAAGTCATGGCTCATGAACAACTGAGAATTGACATGATTTCCCCAAATTCAATTCTGTATTTAGCATAACTATATATGCATATTGTAGAGCAAGTGTAATACGGGAATAAAGAGTTATGCCTTGTGAATTTGCTATATTGGTTCTCAAGGAATGTGTTTTTTCAATAGTTATGCCAACCAACTCATCTGTTTTTTCATTAGTTATGCCAACTAACTCGTAGGTTTATCTTTTTCACATTTTTTGTTGGCTTCTGAGATACATTAGTTTGTATTGCATTTTCTATTTGTTCAGACATTTATTAATATATGTGTGTGTATGCATGTGCTTATGGCTGTCATTAATGTGCTATCTTGTTTACGTAATTCAGGGACAAAGATGAGAACAGCGACGTACAAGATCTAGTGATATCCTTCTCTGGCATGGAAGAAAAGGTTCTTGAACAGTATACTTTTGCAAAGGTATAGTATGACACCTTTCTCTAATTTTGGTAGTATCTCAGATGCATATATGTAGCTAATGCTACGGTGAAGATGATGGTTTGGAGATGGTTCCTTTTTAAATATCCTGTTGTTCTTTCACTGGTCTATTATTAAATTTTAGTCCGACTGTATCATGTTTTTCCTGACCTAAGTTCCTGCAGTCAAAACAGGCTTAGTGTACACCAAGAACCCAGACTGTTAGTGTATACTAAGGCTGTGTTCGGCAACAACTAGCTAAACACTATTTTTTATAGTATTCAGTAACATAGTGTTTGAACTAGACTTTAGAAGTTAAGGTGGCGTTTTATTAAAAGTTAACCCATGTAACGTTTAGCTTTTAGTGTTTTATGAAAAACTACTAAAACAGCTAACAGTTGAACGTTACTAACAACTACCAAAATAATTAATTTTGCTGAATAGACCCTATGACTTCATTTGTTTCTGGAAAATAAGTTTTTGATGTTGGAGGTGCTCAAAAAAAACAGTCAAGTGAAAATATTTTCTTGGTTAGATAGTACTAAGCCGTTGTGAAGGAAAATGATATCTTTTGTAAGGAAAATATTTTTCAAACTTTGATAAATATATTTAACCAGAAAGGAGCTTATAAAAATACACTTATTAATCCATCAATCACCAATAGACACCATGGCTGACCACTGTTGACTGATACTAGTTATCGGCAACCTCTGACCTTAGGCAACCACCATAGTTTATAATTTTTATGTATTTTTTTTTCTCATATTTAATAATAAATTTTTAAAAATATAAAACTTTTATAGTTATAATTAATTGTTAAAATTTCAAAAGATTAAGAAAATCATTAAATAATCTCAACTCTAGAAAAAAGTAGTTGTAATTAACTAAATTATTTTTTTGTCAATTCTCTAAATGATTAATGCTTATTTAGTGATATACCAAGACACGAGTAAAATTGGAAAAAAAAAAAAATGGTTCCTTAATTTTCTAAAATGATCCAGGGTGGGAAAAGGAAGTTTCGAAATTGTGATAATTTTAATGGGATGGAGAATAATATTTTTTAACTAATTTTCAATATTACAACCAAACAATAGAAAGTGAGTTATTTGGGAAATATTCTCCAGATGCCAGTTATTTAAAAAAAAACAAACAGAGACTTAAACAGACATGAGAAGTTGTAAATATTAATATATTAGACATGAGAAGAATTCTTATTAATTTGGAAATGGCTTTTTTGTGGCATAAACTATAAGAGTTTAAATCAAATTAGAGTCTGCTAAGATCTGAAGAACCATATTATGGGGGAGCTGGGTGTTTTATCTGCGATCTGCAACTTCTGAACTATCGTCAAATATGTAATAACTTGTTGGCTGTATAATTTTTCACAACAATCAATCTGGGTAGTCCAAGAATCTTTTCATACTCAACAATTTGTGAGTCAGGCCAACAAAAGTATTTATCTGACTATTTATTCATTATAAGATCATGATTAAGAACTTTGTGTCTTTCTGCCAGGCCAATATGATCAGAACAGCCACCGTAAACTATTTACTGAACTCTGGCATTCAGTGGGGATCAGTGCCTGCAGTCAAAGTAACATTTTAACGATTTCATAATTGATTATTTTATTATTATTGTTTCCAAAAACACTGTGCCGAACATAGTTTTAGATTGGATGGTATTATGAAATATTTCTTTTCAGGGTGTGCGTGATGCTGCTGTGGAGTTATTGCACACTCTAGTAGCTGTGCACTCAGAGGTACATCATGCGTATGCTAATGAAATCAGGACTGCTTGAATGTGATAACAATATCATGTCTTACATCTTCATATGAGTGATAGTTATGCATCTTCTCTATTATCATTTAAAAAAAAAATCGTCATTTCAGGTCTTTGCTGGTGCTAAGCCTCTGTTGGATAAGACACTTGGCATACTTGTGGAAGGTCTAATTGATACTTTTCTGAGCCTTTTCCATGAAAACAAAAGCAAAGATCTGAGGTCACTAGATGCAAATGGTTTTTGTCAGCTCATGCTCGAGGTAGAGTATATTGTTTTTCTTTCCTTGGTAATGAATTATAGAATTCAGGTGCTTATTTGCAAATCAAACTCGCGTCCTAATACATACAATTGTTTCTATTTCTTGCTGTATGAATTTGCTTCCAAGATCCCCTAACTTGAATGATTGAAAACATTTGGGAAAACTGATAGTTTTATTTAACTTTAGTAAGTAAACATTTTGAAAATCTTCGTGAGACCAATATTTGTTTGTAATTCTGTAATATTAAAACATGTTGAAGCATGTCACTTGGAAGAAAATATTACACTGCTCTATCCACAAAGGGCGCAGAAAAGGAAACAATTTAGTGGATGTCACACACAGGAAAACATATAAAAATATCCAAGACCAAAACATTTGTAGTTGACATTCAGTAGATTCTTATTAAGAGAATAGATCAGATTTATTTGCTTCATCTGAAGGCTGCAGCAATGCACCAAAATATTTTCATCTGTACAGTTGAATAATTTAATTTCGTAATTGCACAAATAATTTAGTTTCCATAATGTGTTTTCTGCAGCTTGAATATTTTGAAACTATATTAAATCCATATTTCACACATGATGCAAGGGAGTCTCTCAAGTCCTTGCAAGGTGTGCTGTTAGAGAAGGCAACTGAACATGTCACTGAAGCTGCAGAAAATCCAGGTCATCAACGGAGATCAACTCGTGGGAGCGAGGATGCACTTGATGACAGGCAGCAGGGCATGACTGTGTCTCCAGATGACCTAATTGTAAGAATCAAATTCCTTGTCGGTCAGATAATATGCTTAGTCTATATGCTTAGAATTAATAGCACCAGCCGTAATCATACAAATAGAAAGTTATAATTGTGTTATCACCTATTCTTTTAATGTTCTCTCTGCATTTCAGGCTCTTGCTCAGCAGTGTAGCGCTGAGTTGCTTCAAGCAGAACTTGAGAGAACTCGAATTAATACAGCATGCTTTGTCGAGTCAATTCCCTTGGACTCGGTGCCAGAATCAGCAAAAGCTGCTTACGGTTTCCGAGGATCATTGGATTCTCCCAGCAAAAACTATAGAGGTGCACAAGCAATGGGATCCCCAGGTTTTGCCAGACAGAGGCGTCGATGATTTAGGAAATTACAGTTTTGTTTCATAATTTTTCCCCAATGTGTATGTGCAGTTGTTGTATCGTATAGTTGTGGTAGATCCAATTGAATGAAATCCATATTCTTTCCATTGTAAGTTCCATTTGAGCTCGTCTCCAATTATCCTTCTTACTGATTAGTGTTAATAAACTGCCCATATATATTTTTTTAATTTATGATTTTTGACTCTGCTTTCCCATTTATCTTATAGTTGGGAAACCTAATGCTTTGTGAAAGAAATGCTTAATGTGAATTTTCACTTCAGATGAGAACTTTCTTAGGCAGCTTAATAAGCTCCATGCAAAATGAAGTGAGAGCCTCAGTATTTTTTTTTTCCTTTTTTTGGAATAATGATATTTCAAGAATATATATTTATTTAATCAGAGTTCCATAAAATTTGAAATTTTTATATATATTTTTTTCATTATCTATATATGGTTCCTAAACAATAAAGATTCAACATGGCAAAGCACAGATTGTCTGAACAAACTAGTCACATGATGGTATAAAAAAGTGGATACCCTAAATTTCACCCACAATGCCATTCATTTGATACAGATATATCATGACAGAATCTTGAACTTCATCCTCCAAATCAAGCAGTCCTCAGTGGTGGAGAAACCAATATGACACCATCTCCTCTAACAAAGAGAAAAGGAACAGTACGCCTTGTAGTCTGAAATAGAAAGAGAACATACAATATCGTAAGCAATGCAATTCAGCTAAAATATATACTTGCAAAACAAGAACAAAGTAGGTTTCATTGCCTAATTCTGCTTATTCAGGGCATAATTTTTATACTATCCAGTGAATTTGAGCTTTTGCACATCTCATGAATTGATAAGTTGGTGAAAATTTGGGGTCCAAACAATGCAAGTGTTGAAATAAAGAGCGCCAGCAATGCTTTGAGGTAATGAACTTTCCAAAGCACCTACATAGGCTTTATGTAAACCGATTAAAGTTCACAATATTCAGAGCCACCCTAAATGCAAACAACAATCAGTGATTGTAGGTGAATATTCAATTCCGCAGGTCCAGATAATCCTAGCCCAAAGGTGAATCCTATCATTTTCAGGCAATAAAAAGCAGATGCTTCCTCGAAAAATTCTAACTATAAGCAATTTGGACTTCTAATACTTACTTGTACATTAAGACACAACTATTAATGATACTCAATCATTAATACTGGGTTCAACAGGAATATAGACAAATATATATATATAACATACAATATCTAGTCCCAACTAAAATATTTACTTGCAAAACAAGAACAATGGAAATTTTCATTACCAAAATGTACTAATACAGGGTATACATTTTTTATATTATCTACAGTGAATTTGAGCTTTTGCACATTCTATGAAGTGATAAGTCTGAAAATTTAAGGTCCAAACTATGCAAGCAATGAAATGCACAGATGGAAGGAATGTTTTGTGGTTATGAACTTTCTAAAGCACCTCCATAGGATTTATGCACACTCTGAAATTAAAGTTCGCAACATTTGGAATCCATCCTAAATGCAAACAACTCTCCAGTTGTGTTGTAGGTGAAAATTTCCCTTCAATTCCATGATGGTAATATCCGTAATAGCATCTCTCATTGAGTAAGTTTGCATGTATAGATATTTCTTCCCCAATCCAGTGGTATAATACTATTGTCTGTGCTAGGTGCATCCTATCATTTGCAGGAAATAAAGCTGATTGTGAGATGCTTCCTTGAATAATTCTATAACTATATGCAATTTGAACTTCCAATATTCATAAGGCTAAGACACAGTAATTAATATTACCCTCTTACTAATACTAGATATGCATTCAACAAGAATATAGACCAAAAAAATTTATAATAAGGAAAAGAATATGAAACATACTCGTACAATCTCTTCATATGTTTCATCATCGATTTCAACAGTTGTAACAATTTCTTCAACATCCCCAAGAATCATATTTAGATGCTGATCATAAGCCTGCCAAACCAAATCTGTTACCACATGAAATCTAGGGATTGAATAGAGAAATAAGAACACATAGTGGCTAGGTAAACGTGCTAAAATTTATTGGGAAAGAAAAACCTTTCCTTGGTGTTTTTCTTATGTCACTCTTCAGCAATGTGCAATGTTTGCAGAAGATTACAAATAACAAAACATCCATGCCGGTGAAACTCAGATCACAATCATAATCCAGACTTGCATTTAGTGCTTAGCCTTTCTGTCCACTGACAAAATGATGTGATCTAAATTATACACGCGTGAGAATCAAAGACTACAATAAGCATTTGTAGCATAGACATTGTATCCTGTAAACATAATTTTCTTGAAGGCCTGATATTGTCTATAACAATACCATGTGTATGTGTATATTATAAGCAATCAAATCCACAAATTCCTACTGTGTTATGTCTGAAGTTCACAAATTCATTGAACACATATTTACCATAATCAAAAGCATGTTTCAGTCTCCACCCTCAACTCCCCTCATGTCCAATTGGATACTAAAACATTTACCAGAACTTGTTTATGCCTAAAACCAGGAACAAAAACCCTAAGCTAACACCACCAACCAGTTAGGCAAGGGGAAGTATAATACAACATTCGTCTCCTGTTTCGATAGCAAAAACCATAAATTTTCTATCTGGGTTTCTCGCAATATGAATACGAAAACGAACTCTAAAAGCCCCTAGAAAAACACAAATCGAAATAAATATATAGACACAGTGAAACTTACATGGAGTTTCCCGCGCAGTTCTCGTTCGGACCGAAGCTTGACATAGATGCGCTCATCGAGGCTGAGTCTTATGAGATCCAATGGCTCTTTCACTGCGCTCTCTTCTTCGGTCGCCATTTTTGTCTTTACCTTTCTGTGATTTTGTCCGTCTCTGTTTCTGTTCTTCAAGGGTTTAGGCGTTAAAGCGAGCAGCTAGCTAGAGTGCTTGGACCCAACCCGAATCGATTTGGTTGAACCCGATTGTTTACAAATGGATGGCTGTACCCTATGTTTGGAAAATAGAGGAAAAAGAAAAGAAAAACAAAGGAAGATTGTATTATTTTGTTTTTTTAGTTACTTTCTACTCTGAGTTTAGATTGAAGGAAAATAAAAAAAGAAAAGAGAAAAATAAAATATATTTTCCTTTTTGGAAAAGTTTAAAATATACGAGAAAGAAAATGTGGTTCTTGCAAATTTATAATTTTAGCCTTTACATATTTAATTACTTGACTAAGTATAGATTAATTACTTAATTATTATAAATTTACAAAATTTAACTCTATTTTCACATAATTAATTACTTAAAAAACATTATTTTGAGATGAAAAAATAAAAAAAATTAGAAAAATAGACATTCTTGAAAGGGGTAATTACTTTTATGTCTGTACACAAGATGGAAAATCCAACTCAAAAACCACCACGTCCCCACCACTACCTCTGAAAACGAAGAAACTGCGGTTGAAAATACCATCACAACCAAAAAACAAAACCTAGAAAATTAATACTTTAAGATGATTGAAAATAGATCAAACAATTCTTGTTGGTGCAGATTAAGCAAAATCCAGTATTGTCTCAAATAAAATGGCACTTGTATGATTTATTTTCAGTTCAATTTAGAAACTAATCAACAAGGCGAATTTTCCAATTGAAATCAAAGAGAGAATTGAAAAAACATACGTTGGAAGAATCTGTGTTCTTTGAAAAGTCAAGCTTTGCAAGTCGCCTCACTATCTCCTTTTCTTTTCATTTTTGCAATTTTTATTAGGTTTTCTGGAATTCGGGTTTAATCAAAAATCAAAAATCTAACAACTTTCAACAATTAATCAAAATACAGAAAGTAAATTAAAAAAATCTCAGACATAGACTTTAAAATCAAATCAAAGAAAATTCAAAAGTAAAGCAGCTCGAACAAAGAAATCTTCGAAATTCAGACAAGAAGGACAGTGACAATGAATCTCAGAAGAGTGAATGGACAATTTGAGAAAAAAGAAGAGAGGAGAAAGAAAATAAAAAGAGAGAAAAGATAAAAAAAAAAAAAAAAATTTAATTGTCTTGGGTTTGTAATAAGTAAGGGTATTTTGTGTTTTAAATATAAAGTAACGGTAAAAGCTCATGAAATGGATGAAGGACTGACTAAGAAATTATGATATTATATAGGACCGTTATGCTAATTATCCCTTCTTAAAATGATATCATTATCTATATCATAGTTTCTCCATCAGCTTTTCAAATAATAGAAAGAAGCCCACGGGCTAATTGGTAATTCAATTATTCAAAGAAATGCATCTAGAGAATTCAGTATCTACAAATCATTACTGTATTTTTCGGTTTCGCCCCGTTCGGCGACCACTTTTGAGGTAATTTTTAGTATTTTGACGAATGGAAAAAGAGAAATATTGAGTTTCTAAAACGTTCTTATTACGTTTATCAATTGATAAAAATATTTTGAAAGATTTTAATTTTATTGGTTGAAAAAAATAAAGGTAATTTAATTTTGATTAATTATTGATTTTCCAATTTAAATGTAATTTCTGTAGTCAGTATATACGCTTCTACTAAATAAAGATAATTTAATTTAATTTGTTATTAGTTTTCCTATTTAAATATAAATTCTTTAGTTGGTATATTCAAATATAAAATTTTATATGCAATTATATTATTACAAAATGCGAGTAAAGTTTTTAAATTTAAATAATATATCATTTTATATACTATTTTGAGTTTCTGAAACGTTCTTATTACGTTTATCAATTGATAAAAATATTTGAAAGATTAATTTTATTGGTTTGGAAAAAAATAAAGGTAATTTCAATTTTGATTAATTTATTGATTTTCCAATTAAATGTAAATTTCTGTATCAGTATATACGCTTCTACTAAATTAAAGATAATTTAATTTTAATTGTTAATTAGTTTTCCTATTTAAATAAAATTCTTAGTTGTTATATTCAAATAATATAAAATTTTATATGCAATTATATTATTACAAAATGCGAGTAAAGTTTTTAAATTTAAATAATATATCATTTTATATACTATTTATTTTTTAAATATAATAAGATTATCATAAATACATGATAATAATATAATTAATTATATTAAACGAAATCAAGTGATTACACGAATATTATTTACAATTTGCATTGGTCATTTTATTTTATTATTAAATTTCTTATAACGTTTGGTTAGTATAAATAATCAATTAATATTTATTTACAATCAATTAATTTAATATATTTTTCATTTCATTCAGTCTTCTCTCCTCAGTAATGAGCTTACTAACCACATCCTCAGTAATGAGCTTACTAACCACATCCGCATACACCACTTCCTTACTACCATATTTCAGAACAGGTTTCATATGCTCATATGTCAAAGGAAGTGACAGGATGAGTCGGAGACCTTTATCTTCATTTTCGGTTTTCACTCCAAGAGTTTCCAATTCAGAGACGATGCCGTTAAGAACACTCAGGTGATCTGACAGCTTTGCACCTTCTGCCATTTTCAACGTATGAAATTGCTCCTTCAAATATAACCTGTTGGATATATATTTTTTTCCTGGTACAATTCTTCCAGTTTCTCCCACAGCTCCTTTGTCGTGGAAATCATAGGCACATAACCAGCCAAGGAACAATTTTTTGCTAGGGACAATGCGGAATTTGACTTGTCCGCTTTTGATATCTCTCGATCTCCTCCCATTCTTCTCGGCAATCTTGGATTTTTTCTGAGTCTCTTACTTGCCACTATCTTTTCCGTTGAATTTCTTTCGCTGGACTGGTTTTACCCTGCAATACCCGTTATGTGTGTCCAAGACTGAATCAACACGTCTTTGATTGCACTGCCACAGTGCAAAATTCATTTCTCCCGTCAAATTTCTCAATCTCACATTCTCATAGTCCGACATGCTACTATGTGCTTTATATCAGTTGAAGCCAATAACTTAGTGAGTAAACCGGATTCGGCAAACACAGGAAAGACCACAATGATCTCCTAGACAGTATTACCATTCCCACGTAAATCTCAGTTGGGCCGAGGGTCCAACAAAGTGGATCCCAGTTAAAAATTCGGCCTTTCTAGACGAGTTACATTTGCACGGATTATTATTTATCAGACTTTCGGTACCCCAAATAACTTCAATAATTTAACAGTCAGGACTTCACCACCGGTACTCCAAAGCACACCAAAGCAAAGCCCACCCGCTTCAAGACTTCCAAAACTCCACCTGCTTTTAAAAATAAAATTACATTTTCTCAACACAGTTTTTAGATGTGGAAGATTGAGATAAGCCGCAACCACAGTGCATACTTATTAATTTTAATTACAATAAATTATTTATACACACCTGAAAGCTCCACCTAACAAACTAGGCTTGATACCACCTTGTGGGAAAAATCGCTATTTTCCCGCCCTTAGATCAGCTTCAAGCAGGAACAAATGAGAAAATAAAATTAATGACTGAGAAAATGTAAAGAGAATAAATAACACGATTATTAACGTGGAAAACTCCCCAAATTGGAAAGAAAAACCACGGCCGTTGCCAACGACAACCAAGAAAAATATCACTATGTGGCAAATTGTTACAAACCCACAATTACAAAATATTTTTCTACCCATATTTTTCTACCCGACACCCTCAAAACTCCCCAAATATTTTATACTCCAAGGGACTCCAAGAGACTTGCTCTAAATCCCTAATATAAAACACATTCAAGTATTTTTTATGTATTTTGGTGCGTTTAGAAACCTAAACATTAGCTTCCTTTTATAACCCAAACCTACCACCCTCTTTTGCTCATCTCCCCGATGTGGGATTGAGCAAAACCTTTTTTTTTTTATTTGTTTTCAACAAAGGAGGCTAACATTATTGTGCATATAGTAAAGAAAACAGTTTTAGATTATCATTGTATTTTTTTTTTTTATTTTAACCACAAGTATTTTCGATCCATTGGGTTATAACTAAATCTTGGTTGCACTGGGTTGGTCCACTAAGGAATGAAATGCCACTTGCGAGTATTTAAAATATACTCCAACATGAGATGCTATTGCTCCTACCCATTGAGGAAAGCGTAGAAATAAATAACAAACAAAGAAATAGACGTAGCTTAGATAAATGGCAAGATAAAGGCATAGGAAAATGCAAGTGAAATTATTGTGCTTGTAAACAAAGTATTAGTGTAGATGAGAGAGAGAGAGAGAGATGAGATATTTATTATGCATTTCAGTCCAAGATATTTTTAATCAATTTGGGTGAAATGAGATCTCGTCAAATAGACTTAAGGACAACCAATGATGAAAACAGTCTTCAATTTGACATTAATAAATTGAGAATAACTCTTATTCCCACTCATTCATTACCTAGTTTCAAGCAGAGCATGCGTGAACATATTATATGAAATATAAATACACACACACACAAAGCATATGGTTTAACATATCATGTAAAATCTAAACACATAGTGATATGATATTGTTAGGGCACTGGCAATAAAATTACGAAAATAATTACGGCAGCGGAAAAGTAAAATTGTGATATACATAATTTACATGGTTCACCCTCAACTGTTTAGGGCTACGTCCACGGGACAAACTCCGAATAATTCTTCCACTATTAAAAAAAATAGTAGGCACGCAAAGAGATTAATACAAAAATAGTGGCACTCAAAGTGTGCTACATTTTTTTTTTCTTCTTTCTGTTGTTGTGCATTGAGGCTTGGCAATCTCCTCTATTTATAGGAGAGGATACGAGAGAGCCATGCATTACTCATTCACGGCTCTCCGTTTTGTCAAAATTGCATGCCAACCTTTGAATTGTTTGCTGCCAACTTTAGAATTTTTCCTCTTTCTTTCATCACGTGTGTGGATCCCACTTTCCTCTTTCTTTTCATTTCACGTGTGTGAGATCCTAGATGATCAAATCCCGCCTCGCCCCCCCCCTGGCCCACACTGCATCCGGTTCTGACGCCTTTGACTCAGAAACGATGCCCATGTCCCCCCCCCCCCCGCCCCCTCCTTCATCCTCCCCCCTCTCCCCCCCCTTGCGCCCTCACCGCCCCCTTCCCATCGCCCCCTC